TGCAAGAACTCATTCTCTGTCTTCAGCCTGGCCCTGGGAATACCTGCTGGGGCACCCCTCTGAATTGTTACATTTCCGAACAGAAAGGGAAGGTAAAGGCAGAAGGACGGGCGGGGGGAGGCTAAAGTGCACTTGAAAACAACAGGGGGGGGGGGGAGTAAAAAGGGACGGTGGGAACCGAAAGCGGAGAGGGAAAACCAAACCAGAGAAAGCGAAAGGGGAGCAAACAACCCAGGGCCGCCAACAAAAAACCAAGGGCGCCGAACAGCACCAGAAGAAAAAGGCGCCGGAAAAAAAATGCAAAAAAGCCAAGGACCGTAACAACAAATCTTCGGGCTCCCAAAGCCACTTTTGACGTGGAGGCCCCCCGAACTCACGGGGAGGTCGCGTCAAACACGATAGGGTTCCCAAAGCCGGAACCCCAAGATGCTTGACGCGGCGGCTCCCCGAGACCACGGGGGCGCCATGTCAAAAATCCGGGGGGCCCCAAAGCCGGAATCCATTTTTTGGGGCGTGGCGGGCCCACACGCCCACAGGACCCCGTGCCAAAAATACTGGGGCCCCCGAAACCTCAAGCCAAGGACGATTGACGCCGCGCCCCCCCAGAACCCCCAAGGGGCGCCGTGCCAAACGTCTCGGGGCCCCCCAGGCCACAACTCAAGGCGGCCCCCCGAGACCACGAGACCACGGGGGCGCCGCGTGAAAAATCTTGGGGGCCCCAGCGACCACACCCCCAGATGTGTCACGCGGTGGCCCCCCGAGCGGCCCTCAGAGGCCAAGGGGGGCCACCGGCGGCCACAGCTGGCCACCCCGGGGCCCACGCGGGCGCCGCGTCGGAAGTCTCGGGGCCCTCGCGGCCGAAGCCAAAAAATTTGCGATGCGGCGCCCCCTCAGATTTCCGACAAAGGCGCCTCTGTCGGAAGCTGAGCGAGGGTTGCTAAAACCGCGGCTGCTAAAGCGGCCCTCCCGGAAGGAAAAGACAGCTTCCCGGAATGAGGCGCGGCGCGCGAAACAGCCGACGGGATTCTTCCCGGAAGGACGAAGACAACTTCCCGGAGGTCGATTTCTGGCCATCGCTCGGACGTCCATTCCCTGTGTTTTTTGTTCGGTTTCGTGCGTGACTTGTTCGCCACATGATCAAGGATGCCCCTCGATGTCGGTAGACTGGGGCCCGGGACTCCACGGTGACGGTGCCCGCACGAGCGCCCACCCGGGGGGGCTAAACGGGGCGGGGCCGGAGCGCCCACAAGCAAGCAGTATAGTACAAACGGAAGAAGAAGGCGGCTGGCAAACACCTTGCGAACTGACAAAATTATCTTCGATCTCACACAACGCTAGTCATGTGGTCAAGTCCACACAGGCATCGGTATCAGCTGCAAGGCCCATGGAGTTCTGCACGCGCTGACGAACATGATCGATCCATCGCCTTCTTGGTCTAGTTTGTCTGCGCGCTGGCTGTTGGGGTACCGCGTGCAAATATGGCTCCCAATACAAAAGCTTTGTAGGTCCACTTGTAGTGATCAGCTGCGCGGTGTGCCGCCCGTATCCGCTTCCTCCGGGGTTGTATGGTAATCTGGTCGTAGATATTCAAGCGCCCTAAAAGGCTGTGAATTTTGTGAGTAGCTCGCCGTATCCAATCCGTCCATGGTTCCAAACAAACACCCTCGCTAAGGCTGCCGTAATCTACTGCCTCGTCGTCGTCGGTTCCACACTCACTCGGAGAATTGGTTCTTGTCGACGCCAGATCGCTCTCTTGGCGACGCCGTGGGGTGGCAGAACCATCCGTGGCATGTGCCGTCGCGCTCGTCGCAGCCGGTTCTCCACCTCGCTTGTGAGAACCCAACAAGTACATCCATACAGCACGGTCGGGGCAACTGTGCAATTAAATAACGTACTCGGCCGCGTCGAGAATAAGAGCGCGTAGTCAATTCGCGGCGAATCGCGCGAAACTTGCGCCACCCTGCAGCGATCCGGCTTTCCATCTCACATGTATTCGGGCCACGGAGAGAAAACATTCTGCCCAAGTAGTTCTGCGAGGCTCCAAAATGTAAGATCTCAACCTCCTCATCTGGGTCGGACGCAAGATGTTTGTCTTGCGTGGGCGAAGTTCGAGTCCGACTTCGGCGGTTTCATCTCGAGCTTCACGAAGCATCAGAAAAGGATGCACCGAAAAATAGACGTCATCAACGTAACTTCGTGAGCCGCGCGCCCGAGGAATCTAAACACATTCTACATTTTCGTCGCAACCACTTCGTCTGAGCTCTCCAGAACAGTAGATACCGCGGCTGTCTGGCTGGCGTACAAGCGGCGAAGAATTGAGAGATGGCCATCAGGACCTCCTTGCGCGGCCAAAGACTTCCATAGTTCACGACGCGACACAGCGTCGATAGCCTTCTTGAAATCGAGCATCGCCACCCACACTGGAACCTGCCATTCTTCAGCTTTCTCAGATATCGATGATAAGATAAGCAAACGGTCGCCTGTGGAAAAGCGTCGCCGGAATCCTGCTTGGTTCGGGCCTGTTGTATAAGAGTTTACTGAACAGTTTGCACATTCGAGGAATGATTGTGATAGGGCGGTACTTCTGCGGGTGGGATGGGTCGCCAAACTTGTAAACAATTGCGATGTGAACTCGGCATCGTTGTTCTGGAGCTTCTGCTTCCGGCTTGAGTACGTCATTGTACACCTTCAACAATACCCGTTCAAGTACCAACCCGCCGACTTTCAGCATCTCAGCCAACACGCCCACTTTGTCTGGCGACCTGCCATGTACAAAAATTGTTTGAGCGCTGTCCTGAACCCTGATATTGTGATCTCCCGAACCCGTTCGCCGTTGTTGCTGTTATCTTCGATGTCCAGGTGAAGCTCCGTTCGCTGCTCCTTGCAGAATGTCTCGTAGAAACCCGCAAGAATTTCTGCAATGCCTTTTCTCCCATGCTCTTTGGTGCTGTCGGTGCTGGCCATGTGCGGTACCAGGCTATTGCGCCCATTGTTGTTAAGGCCACTGGTGTATTTCAGGTTCTTGTACGATGATGTTCTCAATGTGTGAATGTCTGGCAGCTCGTCGAAGTGCTCGTAGTTATCTTGGAATTCTCTTTGCGATGGAATTTCGTCTACCAGTGCCTTCTCGCAGTACGCGTTAGCGCTGTTCAAACATATCTTGCAATTCGTCATGCTGGCGGTCCTGGATATTGTGGCCAGTCGTTGTCGGGATCCCGAAGCCCTTCCTTTAGCCACCCTTCAAAATATCTTCGATCCGCTTGCAACGGCTACTCAGATATCCACATAAACCTGTGATTTGAATCTCGTCGCCGACGGCGTTGGCAAACATCGTCTTATCCAGAAGTGGCCACGTATAGGAGGCCGTCTGGACTCTTCTTGGGAAGCTGGTGGTAGTTGGTGCACCGGAAGGCCGAGCGACTGCACTCCGCATGCACACGCATGTGCGATCAGACCCCACACCTCAAGAAGCGTCGACACTACTGTCACGGACAGTACGCCACAAAGACCTGTCAACCATGATGGAATCGATATGTATTGATGCGGCGGCTTCTTAACTCCGTATTTGTCAATACCAATCGTCGCGTAGATGCCCAATTCTGGAGCCATCGGCCTCGTGAGTTACTAGGTCCGATGGCATGTGGACCTCTCGTCTTAACTTCGCCCCCATCTTCGAAAGTTCCCGCTTTGGCGTTGCAGTGTGCACCCAGTCGCAACTGCCAGGCTTCATGCAAGATCGCGCCGACCGCGTCGTATATCCGCTGCAGGTGGTGGTCCTGATAGCCGCCGTGGGGGAAACATGCCATTGCATTCCGGAGTCGCACCTTGTGTCTTGTAATGCCCATGTATGCGAGCCTCTCGTTGATCGGCACAAACTTGACTAAATACTTACACCAACATCGGCTCAATAGAACGGCAACTCCGCGCAAGCTTTTGTCATGACCTGACGCACACAAGAAATGTCCTTTCAAAGTGGACCATGCCTCGGCTTTGACGTTCCTCATCGTCTCGTTCAGTACTATCGCGTCCCATCGCCTGTGCGACAACTCCGAAATCAGCTCGTCAATTCGGTCGTCAGTGGTAAGACCCTTCAAGTTCAAATGTAAGACATGGAAATCATCATAATGGTGCACGTTGTTCGAGTATCATGCTAAATACTGGTTGGCTGAGGATGTTGCGGAAGGTGGGGATCCGAGCAGCACGCGGACTCTGGCACCAAGGTGTTCGCGGAAATGACGTTCTAAAATTGGTCCTGTGGGCCAGTTGGTGAAACAGATTCATGTACTTGTCATTGCGTGCTCGGGTCATGCTTCCACTTGTGCATGAAAGCCTCGACCTCTTCAACGACTATTTCGTACCAAGAATACCTATTTTCAACGACTGGCGTGCACAGGACCTTCTGGGAACAACCGTGCGGCGCACTTCACCGCCGTCGGCCTACACGGGGGCCACCTGGAAATAGAGTCGCGAGAGCTCCGCGGCCCAGGCGTTAAACAAATTAGAACACCCGAAGTCTGGATCACCTCCGGACATCACCACAACCACCACCCCAGCCCCCCACTCTCAGCGGCGAGCGCAGGGGGAAATTCGAGAAGGAGAGTGCCTTCTCAGAAGGCGGCGGGACTTCTCAGAAGCCCTCGCGCCTTCTGAAACTTTTCTGTGTCTTCGGGGAGGGCTTAGAAAACTTCTCAGAAGGACGGGGGACTTCCGAGCCTTCTGAGAAGGCCCGCCCCTTCTCACTCCCTCCCCCTCGCTCGCCGCCGGCACCCGTGCGGCGGAAGAGTGCACGCGGCAGCGCGGCTGGATAAAACGATACTGGTAGAGCAGACCTGCCCCAACATCCGACGTGGTGAGAAGATGACAGCACCGCGAGCAGAACCACGGCCTGAGCACCCCCGACCACATCTCGTCCCCGTGCAAGATTCCGGTGTCGTTTGGGCCGAAGCCCGAGGCTGGGCCGGAGAACCTGGCGCTGTCACTCTTCACAACGCCGAGATGTCAGACCATGCCCAGAGGAGCTGAACACGATTACAGCGCACCAAACCGCAGCGCGACTTGCGATGGGCCGAATGGGTCCTGAGGCAGGCGGGTCCTAGAGCCGTTAGTTCCCCCAAACAGCCTTGTCATTCCGATTCGCCTTCTGACGGTCATGGGCCCCCAAAAGGACCCAGGGGACCGAAAACGGCAAGCCAAACAAATCTGGAGATATTTCCCTCGGAACAAATTCCCATATCTCCCTTCGATATCAAGATTTCTCAACCTTCCTATGGTGTTGGGTCCCCGTTTTGAAGAGACAGCGCCCCGCTTTTCTCCTCTCCTCCTCCCCCTCATCCGTCCTCCCATCCCTGCCTCCGCGCTCCGCATGTCCATGTCAGCACACCCCTCGCACGCATCGTGGCCTCATAGGGAAACCCCCTGGAGGACATGTCCATATGCGGCCGCCCACCCATTCTGGCACACCCCTCACGCGTTTCGTGGCGCCATAGGGAGCTCCTCGAAAGGCCCCAGTGGCCATGTCCACACGCGACCGCCCCACCCGATTTCGGCACACGCCATCACGCGCTTCGTGGGCCCATGGGGAGCTCCGTCGAAGGCCCCAGTGGCGATGTCCACACGCGACCGCCCCACCCGATTTCGGCACACGCCATCACGCGCTTCGTGGGCCCATGGGGAGCTCCGTCGAAGGCCCTGCGGTCCACACGCGCCCGCCCCACCCGATCTCGGCACGCCCTCTCCACTGAAGGCCCCAGTGGCGGTGCCCAGATGCGGGGGCCCCTCCGGTGTGGGCACACCCCATCACGCGCGTCGTTGCCTGAGGTCGTGAATGGCCCCCACAGGAGTTTTTTTGACGAAGGGTAAAAAGATAGCCCGCGAATATTCAAGAAGTCTTCAGAAAATACTAAAAAAAAATCGCCCCCGACGCTATCTCTGGTGTATTTCTGGAGATTCCTCCTGTAGAGGGGCAGGCCCGACTTAATCGTAGCCCCACTGTTGGGGAGCTCCACCGAGGGTCCCAGGAGCCACGTCCGCATGCGGCCGCCCCACCCCCCACACACGTCGGGGCTGGACCTCGACGCTGTTTGTCATTCTGGCTTCGCTATGGTGCTCGTCTTGCTCGGCCTGTCTTCCTGCACCTCCCTCCCATTTGGACACCCGAAATGGGTACCGAAAGAATGGGTACAATGCCCAACAACAAATGTTGTCCAAAACCAACAGCGGCCGCTGTTGGGCGGGCGGCCTCCTGCCTCGAACGGACACGGGCCGCGGCGGCGCGGACAGCGAGCCCTGCTCAAAATGCACAGGAACTGCTGTTGGGCATTGCACCCATCCTTTCCGTACCCATTTCGGGCGTCCAGATCCCAGAACGAACGGCCAAACGCAGACGAAGTCCGGCAAGACGCCGTTCAGGCCCGGCCCTGCCACGCGCTTCTGACTACCTACCAGACCACCCCAACCCAACCCGAAGACCCGAATTTCGGGTGGGGGGGGTACAGGTTCCATACGTGTTTTTTCCATGTTCCCCGACCCCCCCCCACTGGAAATGGAGGGCAGATTGAGGCCTTCGGATTGGGTTGGGGTGGCTTGGTGGGTGGTGAAGAACGAACGGCCAAACGCAGACGAGGTCCAGCAGGACGCCGTGCTGGTCCGGCCCCGCCGCGCGCCTGATTCGTGGCCCCACGGGCAGCTCCACCGAGGAGGCCGCGGCGGCGGTGAGCGCGGGCGGCCGCCGCACGGGTCTGTCGGCACACCCCCTCGCGCGCCGCGTGGCGCCCCAGGCCCCGGCTGTGCTCACATACAGTCGGGGCGCTGACCTAAGGAACCCTAAGTAAGGAACGAGGCCCCTTTTTCCCATAAGTTGAACTTCGATTTCCCATCGGAAACATAACATAAGGAAACCCTGAGGCAAGCTGTGAAACACTTAGGGAACGCGGAGCCCCTCCCCAACGAAAAGGGTTCCTTCTTCAGGGCCCCGACTGTATGCCCAGGGCGCTGTCTTACGGCTGTTGGCTCGGCGTGTTGGGAATCGTGCGCTCAGCTCTTTCGGCTCCCGGCAAGAGAACAAAAAAAAAAAGCTTGACAAAAACCGGCTCCTGTGCTTGCTGCCTCGCCTGCGATGCTTCGGCGTCTTCGGATCGGCTGGTCGCACTGGTTAACACTGCCGTCTGCGACGTCCTCCCTTCCTTCTCCCGCCGCGAAGCCCCTCTCCTGGCATCCAGTCTGGCGGGCCCGATGGCCGATTGCCCCTGGGGACGTCGGGCCTCCGGGCATGTTGCGGGCCCGTGGTGGACTGATGCTAGAGAGTTTGTGCGTTGGCGCGTCTAGCGCTGCACGGCGGCAAAAGCGAAAACGCGGGAGCGAAGACAGCAGGGAAGACAAGGAACAGCCTTCGACCAGAAAACCAAAAAACGCTTGAAATATTATGATCCACAGCGCCGGGCCCAGAAACGCGTAATAAAAACGTAGCAAAAAACGTTGTTTAAAAAAGCACGGTCGCGTTGT